AAAGCTGTATTATGACATAAGATTATGTATAAAATTTGTATAAAAGACTAACATTGCCCGCGGCTCCGCCTCCGTTCAAATGACCAAAAACCAAATTCTTGAGTTTTATATATATTAGTATACTCTTACAATGCAGTTTTTATATTTTTTCTCAGAAATAAAATATTTTTTCGAGGTAAAAAGTATCCTATATGTTGACCCGGATAACCAGCTATCACCATACCAAATTTCATCAAAATCCCTCCAGTGGTTTTTTTGTAATGCGGTAACAGACAGACAGACAGACAAAAATTCTAAAAACTATAGATTTGGCCTCTGCATCGATAATAATGTCTATTTCAATAAGATTTTCCGAAAAATATTTAATGTACAGATTCGACTTAGTTACAATTTTATTATATGTATAGACATGAGTGAAATTTTCAATTAAAAAAACAATAGGATCATGCAGTGTTTTGAAATACTTACCCCGCTTAGCTCCAGTGCGTCCGTAGGTACGTTTTAAATAGATAAAAATAGCTGTTATTGTGAGTGTACTTTAGGAGAAAAACACACAATATCGCGGACTTTTCTGTAGAATTTTTCAGACCTAAAATTTTCTAGTACATTGTTTGGATGAAGTGTTAGCCGTTTCGTTGCGAGCGATAAATAATATTAAATCTGTAATATCTTCTAAGATATTTCTTTTAATGATATGCTATAAAGGACATTTTTGATCTACATTAAATGCACAACGTACCTTAATCTATTTAATTGGACAAGGATTAATACTTTATTGTATAAAATAGCTTCGTAAAACCCATTATTTTATAATAATGTGTAAAAGATAAAAATGGTTACTGTGTGTTCTTATCCTTAGGCTAGCGCTGGATTTACACTAGGTGCACTCGGGGCTAGTGCCTAGGGCAGCAAATTATTAGGGGCGGCAAATAATTAACAATTTTGTAGATTTTTCAAAAAATAAATAATTTTGAAAAAAAAACTTTGTCGAAACTTTACTCATTTTATGCTAAATTTTGACTAGCGGCTCACCCTCGCTTCGCTCGAACACTCACTTCTAGAAAAGTACAAATAGATCTATCCCACGGGAACCGTTCAATTTTCCGGGATGAAAAGTAACCTGTTGTTTACATAAGCTGTTTAAGTTATTATAGTTTTTTGGCTATCCCACGGGAACTCTTTAATTTTCCGAGATGATAAGTATCTAAGATGTTGCCCGGGGATATAAGGTACCACCATGCAAAATTTCATTTAAATCGATCCAATAGATTCGGAGATTAGCCCGTACAAACAGACTAACAGACAGAGAAACAAAAAAGTTGAAAAAACCTGGACTTGTTCTATTTGTCTTTTTACATCCCCCTGACTCGGTTTTTAGCATTTTTTTTCTATGTACAGACATTCGATCTCTACAGTATGCCCAGGAGCGGCGCTAAGGTTAAATCAGACACTGTATACTGCACATGTTTCTGTAGACCTTTTTAAGATATAAAATTCCGTAGTACATTATTTTGATCTATCTCGTAAGATTTAGCCAGCGTTGGCAATGTAAGTGAACAAAAATACGTTTACTAAGTTGTTTTAAAAAAGTTTAAAAAAATGTTTCTACGGCATCATTATAAATCTTTGATATTCTCGGTTTTCCTCTACTAAAACATAAACGCATTATACATATAAACCTTTAAAAAATAATTCTCTAAATGATAGTAAAAACCCTGTCAAATCCATTACGTGGCTTAGAAGGAATTACCTAATCTTATAAATTTGAAAGCGTGTTTGTTTGTTCATTTGTTTGTCTGTCCTTCTTTCACATCGAAATAGAGTGATAGATTGGCGTGATTTTTTGTATGGATATAATTGGAGGGCTGGAGAGTGACATAGGCTACTTCTTAACACTTGAGATTATTTCATTACGACGGGAAAATACTTTATAATACAACCAACAACAACTCATCATACCTATGTGTATATATAATATATAGTCTATTCATTCCATACTAACCGTTAAAACGTACCTAGAGACGAACCCGAGCGTAGCAAGGGTGAATTGCTAGTATTATAGTATACCTATAGATGATGTAGTAAATTTTATTTTTCAATCTTTCGGCGTAAATGTTTTTAAAATGTTGTTCGTATAAGAATTCGAATTTCGTTATTTGTACTATCTACATAATATTATGATTATAAAAACAAAAAATATTTTAATATACAGTATATTTGAATGTATTATGGTATATTTTACGCATCATATTCTGTTATTGCGGATGTATAATTTATATACTTAGGTACCTATTGTTTTTCCTCTTTTATCGTAAATTTTAAATTATAGGTATTTGGTTTAAAGTGATTTTGAAGTTATTGTATATTTTTGTTCAAAAATAATGAGTAATTTATTTGTTTGTCTAATCTAATATATTTAAACGAGCAATTCTTGTAAATTTATTTATTTATACCGGTGATCTCGGAAATGGCTCTAACGATTTCGCTGAAATTTGGTAGGTATGTCGGGGTTTTCGTCGGCGAAAAATACATCAATATTAGTCTTATGTTTGGGAAAACGCGTGTTTTCGAGTTTTCATGCGCTTTTCTTTCACATTATTCCACGCAAAATATGGTCGCTAATTTTGCACGCATGGGCATAAGCATCGTGGTCAAGCGGCTAAGGCGCAAGATTTACAATTCCAGGTGTTCGGGTTCTAATCCCGGTCGGATACAAAGTTTTTACTTTAGTTTTTTTATTTGTATTTATTCAAGTTTTTAGTGTTTTTTGGTTTTTTTAGCCAAATTAAAAAGAAATTGTACCTATGCCAAAATGCAAAAAACTCCGAGAGAAGCTCGGTCGCCCAGATAGGTATTATATATGAAATTAGTATCTTTTAAAAAATCTTGAATCTTACGGCGACCGTAATAATCTCCGATCCTAGATAAATAAACCATGATTTTATTTAACAATTATGAGAATTGTTTTTTTTTCTTACTATTCCAAGTTTTATCAAATATTACCTCTCAAGACATTATCGTGTATTATTTTAATAGTTCTCTTCTACTTAATTTGGTTTTCGTCACACTTTCATTATAGCATTGACCTATTAGTAAAGTTTGCGTGGAAAGCCAAGTGAAACGGATTCAAACACAGGTCTCGTATCTGACATTTTCATATGCGAATCATTTTCAACAAGATTACCACTAGCAAATACGGCGAAAAAAAACGCCGTGTGAAAACCTACACGCCTGAGAGAACCTAATTAATTTTTAAAACACGTGTAAAGTCCGCTAGCTCACATTTTTAGCCTGATCCCTCTTATTAAGGAAAGGAAGTGCCATAAAGTAGGACGTTAAAAGTTCCCCCCCCAACGTGCGTTCACCTTGTCGTGGTGGGGGGGCTCAGTAGTGTACTCGCGAAGCCAAGAAACGCACAGGGAGGTGGCCCGCTTCGGTGGGCGGTGGGAGGCGGCCTTCTTCAGAGGGCGGTGTACCATGCGGGTTGCTCCTGGTACTTCTCTGATAGCAGAGTGGACCGTGGAGCAACCCCATGGTTGTTGTGGTCTGCTTCGGCAGACCTGCCGTCGGGGCGTCGTAGTTGAATGCGTAAGCGATCCTGCGACGCCCCATTAAGACGGGGGAAGGTTTTGTTGGGTTTTAGTGGGTAGTACTGGCTTCGCCGGTGAGTCCCACACTTCGTGCGTAAATGCATTTCCCAACGTTAAAAAAAAAAAAAAAAAAAAAAAAAAAAAAAAAAAAAAAAGAGAATCTTAGGGGGTTAAGTTCCTCACCCCCAACGTGCGTTCACCTTGTCGTGATGGGGGGGCTCAGTAGTGCCCGGCAACCCAGCTAGGCGCGAAGCGAGGAAACGCATTGGGAGGTGGCCCACTTATGTGGGTGGTGTGAGGTGGCCCACTTCGGTGGGCGGTGTACCGTGCGGGTTGCTCTTGGTACTTCTCTGATAGCAGAGTGGACTGTGGAGCCCCGTGGTTGTTGTGGTCTGCTCTGGCAGACCTACCGTTGGGGCGTCGTAGTTGAGTACGTAAGTGATCCTGCGACGCCCCTTTAAGACGGCGGAAGGTTTTGTTGGGTTTTAGTGGGTAGTACCGGTTTTCGAGCCGGTGAGTCCCACATAACCACCTGTATGTCTACAGGTGGTATGCGTAAATGCTTTTCCCAACATTAAAAAAAAGGGGTTAAGTTCCTCCACGTTCGGCCATCATCTTAATATTAATAACAGAAAATCTAGCCTGATTATAGTATCATAACAGTCTTTAACGGTTTTACAACAAAGTTCCAAATGGCTGCCCTCACACAATAGAACTTCCTTGAGCGATATATACATACATACGTGGAAGAGCGAGTGTATAATTATTTTGAGTCATCTCAATTTATCTCCTCGCATCGTGAGTATGGATACATTGATTGATGGTAGTTCAAATTAAGTTCACATTGGGTAACAATATTGCTAGTTTGCGAATATTTTATCACATTTTTTATAGGAAAATACTAATTCATTGGATGCGGTACAAACGGATAAATTACATGGACGTTTACGAGTACTAATTTAGATACATGCAATATGCTTAAAAAAAATTTTACTGCGCACACTACTTAACAAAAGCGTAATTTATATAAATTAGTTAAGAACTAGTTCAAACCATTAAAAATCATTAATTAATATATTAATTAATAATATATATTAATTATTAATATATTAATTAATTAATAATAGTTAATATTCGCTATTAAACGATTTTTTTACTTAAACACGAGCTTTAGTGAAATTCATGCTTTTATTAAAAATAACTTTTGCACTAGCCCTTATAATAGAATTGCCCTTGAAGGAAACCTGTCTCATTTCAGGACTGACAGCCTTTCATATAGCCGAGGTGTGATAGCGCGCGCCACAAGAACGCTGCAACTCGACGTGCGCAGACGCATGTTGAAACCGCAATAGAGTGTATGAATACGATAAATTCAAAATGAAATTAATAGTGATATTGTTATGTTTGTGTATGACAGTGCTTGGACAAGACATTGAGTCGATGAAGAATATGCCAAAATATGACTCGAGATATGATTATTTGGATGTGGATGCGTTGTTTAATAGTAAAAGACTAGTGAGAAACTATGCGGAATGTTTGATAAATGGACAACGGTGCACTCCTGAAGGAAAGGCGCTGAAAAGTAAGTTTTTATTTATATGTTTAAATCAAGTGAATTAATAAAATGTAGGTTTTATAATAATAAAAAAGTCTATTGTAGCTAAAGTATTTTTCAGTAAGGTTCTCCTTTGAGTGGGAAGTGGTGTTTAGTAGTAGCTTATATTTTAATAGGTCAAGACCGTAACAATATGATTTAACAAAAAAAAATATTTTATACTGTAATATAGCATTCACTATCATATTTAAAAAAGTTCTTAGGCAATGAACTTTTTTTTAGTCATCAATAACAATGTTTTGTAGTTAAAAATATTTTTAAATTACTCACTTAATATATGTTAAAAATTGTGTAAAATACAAAAATAATATAAACAATTTTGAATTAATATAATTGACTCAATATAATTGAGGTATTGCTTATCATTATATAATGATTAAGATATCGACTCTACATAGTTGTTAAGATACCAGATATTCATAGTTCTCAAATATTATAATATTTTATATATAAGATTCATTTCTAATCTCTTTCTATTACATAGACTCCTATATTTTTTACGTAGTTTATAAATTGTACTGAACCTAGTTCACAAAGGTAAAGGGAAAATAAATAATAAAGCATATTATTATAGATCGTAAAGACTTTTTTGTTGACGCTAGCGAAACCTTTCATGGGGGGTCCCCAGGGTACTGGTCGTCAATTGGCAGGGTACTGTGAGGCTCTTACTCACAAAAACCCACAGCAGAACCATTCGTCGCAGTGCAATGAGGCGTTGCAAGACCGCACTCCTGATAGATCGTGTAGACTACACGTCTAGAGTAACAGTATTCGTACTATAAAAGGAAAGGTTGATAACTGCTAAAGAATATACATATATATAATACGTTATGCTTACCGTATAGTAATTTAATAATTTAATTTAAAAATGGCGATTTAAATTATGAAAAATTAAAAAAAATATAACAGAAAAAATCCAAGTCGTTAAACTTTATATTCACTAAATATTATAATATCTACTAATGTGAAGATTATATCAACATTATCTTTCTTTAATGAAAATAAAAAGTCTCGTATAAAATACAATAAAACATCGCAAAATCGTAAACATTAATAAAATATATGTTTGTAAAGTATAATATAAGATGTTTAAAAATGAACGTTTTTTAAAATAAAAATTAGGTTTGGATTTGAGTTTTTAATGATAAAAAATGTATAATACATAATTTTAATTTTGGATTAAGGAAAATATAAAATATAAAAATTACTTACGCTACGTGTGTGTGCATTTACCTTGTGTGGAAAAGTCGAAGCAGTTCGATGTAAAATTCTCTATCATATTCTCCAAGAGACGTAAAAAGATATGTTTTAAAATTTCTGTTAAGATTTAAAATTTTGGAACACCTCCAACTCTTTATGCATGAGATTTCGCAAATCCAATGATCCTACGAGTTTAAAATTTTGAAAGATTTTCCGCTCATAACATGCCTAATGAAGGGATGAAAAAGGGCTTATATAAAACTTCGTAAAAATAATCAGCAGTAAATTCAGATAAATCAAATGACCCTACGACAGATTTAATTTTTTTGATGTGAAACTTCTTTGGGCGCGCCATGAGAGGAGAAAAAAGGATTGGCGTTACGATTTTTGTAACGGAAACGGTTGTTACGGAAGTGAATAAATAGTCAATTAAAAATTGTTAAACTATTATATGAATATTTCAAAGAATAAATTCAGTAAAAATAGATATTTATTTATAAAAAAAATATTCTGTCATTCATTTTTAAATTAACGATGGAATAATATCACATGGATATTGTTAAAAAATTATTTACTTAAAATAATTTTTATACATTATAAATATAATTTTTCAATCACTAAAAACTTTGCATCCTGTAGGTATAATAATTTATTAGAGTATATAATTTATTGAATCATTGAAACATTTAATTGAAAATTAAATTTTATCTTAACACCTTATTATGTACTATGTGAATAATAAAATATAGTTTCGTTTTTAAATCGATAAAAAAAAATTTTTGCATCTCTCCTATCCTAATCATTTAAAACATATGAATCTCATAAAAACTACCGATAACCTATAGAATTTTCACTTCTTGCGCGTGTACAGATTGATACACGCACTCTTTTATTTATTTTTTTATTTGGGCACAATACGAATAAATAGAATGACAAATTCTAATCTAAGCTGCTAATTGGAGTTATCCATATTTCAGTTTACGCAACACAATGCACATTCACGTGTAAAGTTCAAAATTTAAATATCTTAAGGACATTTGGTGAATTAAATAAAATTTAGGATAGTTATGCAAATTAAACGAGCTTTATGACTGATACTAATAGTCTTCAAAAGTAAAGTGACTTTTGTTTCGTAATGAAAATATTTTATTATCAGTGTAATATATTTAGAAATAAAATAAAAATGCAGACAGACGACTGCAGTGACTGTCTCTTAGTTCTTATCTTGCTTACTTAAAAAAATGTTAGTAAGTAAATGATTGTTAAGATGTTTTGTTTTATATGAATTACTAGCGGCTCACCCTCGCTTCGCTGGGTTCACATCTAGGAGAACAAAAACAAACCTATTCCACGGGAACAGTACATTTTTCCGGGATAAAAAGTAGCCTATGTATTATTCCAGACTATAATCTATCTCTGTGCCAAATTTCATCTAGATCCGTTCAACCGTTCTGGCGTGAAAGAGTAACAAACATCCATACTCACAAACCTACACATTTATAATATTAATACGGATTTTTATATAAAGCTAATAACATAATATTACCACTATAGAATATAATTAAGAATTTGGTTTTTGGTCATCTGAACGCGGGCGGAGCCGCGGGCAATGCTCAATAAAATCAATCCTTAATAAAAGTTTATATAATTTTTCTTTATCTTTAGAGTTTCGATTTTTTCCCCATGAAAATAATGTTGAATGATATAAAAATCTTTGGATAATTTCAAATATTTTTATATCCATTCAATTATTCAATTACTGTGATTTTGTTCTACATATTTAAAAAAAAAGTATTTTTATTTTATATTTTTTTTATTAGAACTAGTGCTTATTTAATATTTTTAATACTTCATAGCATACAATTTGAGATATTTTCTTATGAATCTTACAAGAAGAAGATATAATACCTACTTCAAAGATGTAATAATAAAATTTAAAACAGCAATAAAGCAATGCCTTTAGTAACTAAGTCATAGTTCCAGTCCATTTATAATAATACCTGTTCTTCGCGAAATCGCTTGTGAAAGTCATAGCCAATAGAGAGGCTTGCAGTAAAATAACTTTTTTTTTCTGAAACTCTATTTTGATTTAAATTTTAAGCCCTTATTAAAATTGGGAATAAAATTCTTATGGGAACATTTAATTGTCTTAAACAAGTCCTGGTTGGAAAAAATAATAATATTTTAGTCATATCCTATTTTAATAAATATAAAAAAATGTCAGAAGGTAGGGCATATAATAAGGGTATTTTTTAATTTAACTGCCTCGGTGGTGTAGTGGCTAGCATATACGGCTGCACACTCAGAGGTCCTGGGTTCGAGTCCCGGGTCGGGCCAAGTTTAGTTATTGAGTCTTTCTGTATAGTAAGTCTCAGTAACAGCCCAGAGTTGGGAAGTTGGCGGTGTTTCACCCCCGTGCCTCGGAGAGCACGTAAAGCCGTCGGTCCTGCGCCTTAACTCTCACTGGTCGTGTCGAGCAGTCGTCCCACCGGAGTATGAGAGTGGCAGGAATAGAGAGTGCACGCTGTGTCTACGCGTACATTTGTGCACTACAATATCTCCTGCGCATTTGGCTAGTCTCAATGAGATTGGCCGCCGTAGCCGCAATCGGCTAGGAGAACATCATCATCATTTTTTAATAAATACATAGCGTAATTCTCAACAGAGAAATAAAGTAAAAAAATAAAATAAAAAGTAATATATTTGCTTGTCTCGCACAGGAATCGACTCATGTTCTTTGCTTAGAGACAGATAGCTAAGCAATGAGCATTATCTATTAGAAATGACACATATTTATCGCAAGTGAATGAAATAAGATCAAGATCAGTTTTTTTTTTTATTTGTGAATTAAATTATTAATGCCCTTAATAACATTTTAAAACACTTATTGGGAAATTCTTCAATCGTTTACGAATTACTAATAAATACTCATTTTAAGCAATTTTATTCCAAGGTGAGATACTTATAGATATTTAAATGTATCTATACAAAATTAATTTGTGTCCTGGTGCTTTATACAAGATGTCATTCTACAATCGTTGAAAGATAGAAATAAAATTAAATATATTACGGAATGACTATGACGTAACGATTAAAGTCAATTCAAGACAATTTTTAAAAACATACATACAGACGAACATAGAACCTCTTCCTTTTTGGAAGGTGGTCGAATGTCTATTCGTAATATATTGTAGTATGACATCTTACGTATCTAACCCTAAGATATTTCTAAACAAAGAGCCTCAGATTCTTTTGGATATGTTTGGCATTGTTGCAGGATTAGCTGTGTACTTTATGAATTAACATAATATGTATACAAATTGTGTAAAAATTTCACATAATCGTTTATTATATATTAATTGAATACAATGACAATATATGGGTATTTTTTGCCAGATTAATCAGACGAAGGACGCAATCTTGGAGAAATACCCATATTTAATTTGCATAATTGATATTATTCCTGTATTAAAAAATCTAATAATTTACTTGTTGTATTCAAATAATAGCACTCAATTCTTTACATAAGCGTACAATAATTAATTAAAACAAATGAGTGTATCATCATTTATTATTAAAAAATCTTAGAAAAAATAGTAAAGAACGTCAGTAATAAATGTTCGTACTAATTCTTGAGTTTCCTTAAAAAATACTACCCTCTTAGCATTTGATTCTATTTGTATTAAGTAATTGTATCAAATAAAATCTATTATATGTATATTAGTTAAAGTAGGATTATTAAAATTAAATTCAATAAAATGTTAGTT